AGAGAGGTTTGCACTCGAGCTCGGGGGAGCGAGGGCGGTGGAGTTTTGGCGGCGGCAGCAGGAGCGGCGGCAGGAGCCAGAAAATTGGTGATCAGCACTTGCTGCGGCGCGCGGGGTTGAGCGGTTGCGTCCAGGTCCGCTGGATGCGCGGCGTTGGCGGGACCGCCTGATGTGTCCATCGGGGAGGCCACGGCGCCAGGCATGGGGAAGAGAGGGGAGAGGAGAGGGAAGAGGGAGAGAGAGAATGCTTTGGTCAGGAGTTTGAAGTCGCAGTTCAGCAACGAGATTGGTCGGTAGTTGCCAAGGTCAGAGCGCGGGCCTTTCTTGTACAGCAGCTTGACGAAGCCGTCCTGCATGTATTCCGGAAGGCGACCATTTTCGAGCGAGCGGTTGGCGATGGCGGCGAGGATTGGGGCCAGCTCGTGCTTGAACTTCTTGTAAAACGCAGTGCCCAGCCCGTCGGGCCCTGGGGACTTGCCAGATGCAGTTTTGTTGATGGCGTGGACGATCTCCCATGCCTCCAGCGGTCTGCTCATCAACTCGTGGTCCTCGTCGTCGAGCATCTCGTTGGGCTTTGCATGGCTGAGGATGTGCCGGGCAGCTGCTGGGTCAATGGGTACGTGCGCATAGAGCTTAGCGTAGAAGTCACGCTGGGCGTCTGTGATGCCGGCCGCATCGGTGACTTCTTTGCCGTCGACGAGGAGCATTGGGATGTGCGTCGCCTTTTGGGACTGCTTTTCGAGCGAGAAGTAGAAGGAGGTGGGGTGTTCGCCCTCGGTGCGCCACTTTTTGGCCGAGCGGACTCGTGCTCCTTGCGCGCGATGCTCGAGCTCAGCTTTGACACGGGCTTCCTGCTCCGCTCGTTCGGCTGCAAGCAGTTTTGCCTCTGCGGGGGATGTTGCTGCGAGGAGATTGCCTTCGATGATTTTGAGCTTGCGGCTCGCTTGGGCCAGAGCCTTCGCCCGGTCTTTCGCAATGGAGCCGCACAGGCACTGGGCTAGCCATGCTACGTCGGCCTTGAAAGCAGTCCAGTGGTTCTCGGGGTCGGGGCGGCGCGCCAGCTCTGCTATCTCGTTGAGTACCATGCCGCAGAAGCCAGCGTGTTCGAGAATGGTGTCGTTCAGCTTGAAGGGTGGAGTGCATCTGTCTTCCGCGGACGGCGCCACCAGGTTCACACAGACGCCTCGATGATCCGAGTGTTGGTAAATCCTGGTCGCGGTCGACTTGATTGTGAGCGGGAGGTTGGATGACAGGAGCATGAGGTCGATGCGGGAGGCTCGGTGTGTCTGGTTTTTGCTCGGCCATCGTGTGTATTCGACAGGGTCATCGGCGCGGTGGTTGAGCAGCCAGGCATCCTCGAGTGCGTGCTTGTTGATGAAGTCCTTGAGAGCGTGGTTTGCCTGTGTGGCGCTCCTAGGCTCTTGGCTTGGCTCTGGTTGGACGTACAGGGGGCTGATGTTTGGTGTGTGTGAAGTCGCCGCCGATGATGCGGGCAGCTTGGCTCGTCGTCGTTTGCTGGGTGGCTGACTTGATGA